ACATGTGGTTTTATTCTTTATGAACACAGCTGACTGTCTTCTCTCATAAAGACATTTACAAAGCAGCAGGAGAGAAAAATGCTGCTTTGGAAAAACAAATCAGTATTTGATTTATTCCTCTGACTCCCATACGTTATCAACCTTCACTGGTTCATATTTTATCACACTTTTTTGGGGGGATTTTGTGCTGTCTCACTGTTTTTATCTAATGAAAGAGTCATTTCTGTGTATTTTCTAATCTCTCTTCCACTCTTCATAAAAAGTGGATTTTTTTTATGAAGCAGCCAAAGGCTCTCCTGTGCTCTGGCCGCTGTGTTTTTGCCTTGATAATGTGTTTCAACAAACACCCAGCTGGGGCAATTACCTGAAAAATGCAGCATGCTGCATCCTGCCACTGACTGCTTAATCAGCCTCTCCATCAGGCAGCATCCTATGAAATGTACTGTAAAGGTTTACAAACACTAGTGTTATTTCACTAGTATTCAGCTGATTCTGTGAATCGTTTGTATCTAAGTGTTTCTGTGTGTGTTTTCAGGCTGTGCTGACCCCGAAGAGCTGAGCGTGGAGCGAGCCCACACCACAGTGGAGAAGATGTTTCAGACCCTCCAAGGTCTGAGCCAGACTAGAGATCACCTCAAACAGCTGCGCTCCGTCTACACAGAGAGTGATGGCGTTCACCAGGTATGACCAGACTTCCAGTTGGTTCAAGAGAAACTCTCTCTCTGTGGAGAATGAGGTTTTGAATTGCTTGGCTCTCATCTCTGCAGCGGTGACACAGACACAGGAAAAGACCTCTGACCTTCGGAGTGTTTGTGCCCTTTCAGTTTGCGTCATACTCTCGAGGTCAGGGAAACTCAAAGCCTCTGTGTCGTGGAGCTTATATAAGAGAAAGGCGGCTCAACCACAGTAATAACATAACATGGCTGCTGTCCTTCAGACTGATTAAATCACTTTTAGTGAAGAATCAAAGGCAGAGAGCAGCGAGGTTTGTCGATGGAGTTTGTAGGAAATGAGACCAAAAAGAACAGGCTGCAACGGTAAAGAAAAAGATTGTTGGAGTAGTTTGTTCACTTTTCTACCTTTTAAAAGTAAAAATGGTGGGTTGTTAATATTGACCAAATATAGGTGTTTTATTTGACTGACAGTCCTCTGCCCAATGAAAAGTTCTGTCTCCATGTCAGGTAGGATCTGTGACTGCATGCTAAAAGCATTGAGTTTTGGTGGCAGACATTCAGGCCAATAACTTCCTGAGAGTTTATGCTGGTTGCTAGGAAACTGGAACCAAACAAGACACAGTCTGGGACACAACCTCCCATTAAAGGACTGATGTTTTTACACTATGGTTTTTCTGGAGAACTAAGCACTTTGGCTGCTAACGGGAAGTGGAAGTCGATGTGAGAAGGTTATGAAACAAAGAAAAAGGAGGTTAACAGTTTCCGTTTAATGCCAATTTATATCTTTGACATCATATAGTCATCGACTACCAGCAGTACAAGCACAAAATGATGCTTTGTTCAGGCCTGTGAGGAAAAAGGAGGTTCTTTTACAGTAGTTTTTAACCTTATTGTCACTCTGATGGAAACTAGTTGACGTGCGGAGCGGATGAATACGACGCTATACGCAGCCATAACGTTGAATGGTCATATTGCCTAGAGATGTAACTATGCTTCATGGACGACATCATTATTGTAATCTGTGTTCTTAGGACAGGACTGTGTGTCAGTGTTTCTGCCCTATTGAATGAACCAGGGCTTAATACAAAGACGGAACATCATAATGGTTGTTCCTAAAAAAAAATCAGAAATCCATCAGCCTTTCTCCCAGCATGCACCTCCTCCACCAGTGAAGCTGAAAAAGGGTCAAGATGTCTTCTTCAAACTCACTCCTGACATCAGACATTTTGACATGACTCACCTCCTGATTCACTGCTGTCTGTGCGAATCCTCACATGATCATCGTTGCATTGAGTTGCACTAATCAATGAGGCCGTACATTATAATGTACAGTAGGTGTGTACACAGTATGTGCAGTACTCATGCCATACATCATGAGTACTTGGGTGTACCTGAAACCATGCTCTCACATGCATCATGTGACCAGCTGGAGTGAAAATCCCTGCAGGAAAAATCAGCTGGTTTATTGGAGTTTACCAAGTGTGTGTTAGAGCTGAAACTGCATTATGTTTCTTCAGTTAAATTTGTTATTGGTCACTGTTAGAAACTCCTGACGTCAGAACAGTTGGTCCACTTTCTTTTTTTAATTCTTTGACTAATTCACTTGTCAGTTGCAGCTATACCATCAGTTTTACTCACACACCTTATTTCCTGACTCCGTCTCACCACATTACTTGCCTCCAGTACTGTTATGTTAGTGTGCAGTTTTAGTCTGTAACTGTTGGATTAAAGCATCTGTATTTACTTTTTTTTGTAGGAATTACTGCAACTTGACAGTTTAGTAGGCAGTGAGCAGCAAAGTTACTGCTCAAAATACCTGCAGAGGTCCTGGTCTCTGCTGTGTAATCATATGACTAATGCTACAGTACGTTCCTTTTTATCCGTGGGTGTGTGCGGGGGGGCAATTTAGTTGCATTCACCTTTTTAGAAGGCAGGTAGAAATGGAGTGCGTGTGGGCTGTTTGTTGTTACTGCCTCAGATTCTATCCATTGAATGTGAATATGTAATTGAGTTGGGAATCATTAACGTGTTTTCTGTTTATGCTAGCTGACCCATAAAGCAAAGTCGCGTCGGTGAAAATAATGGATAGTTCATAAAATGAGGTCAATATACTGTGCAGGCTGATTTGACTATTCATCAGAGAGTTAAGGTGTGGGTGGCAATGACTTTTTTTTAAAAAAATGATTAATCAAGATTAATTGCGATATGAACATCAGCTTCTCCTAATTTAAGCCAAACACATGTTTTTATGTATACTGCAATATAAATGGAATAAAAAACAAACACAAATAACAGCAGGTAGATGTGTGTGTTTTACACTTGTTCTGTGTGACTAATCTAAAAGATGGTAGTAGGAGTGTGTGTTGTGACAATATGTGTATTGACTGTGAATCAGAGCAACAATAAGTGGATGGACAGTGGGATAACAGGCTGTATGTCAGCCTGTCCATGTGTTTAAAATTGTATTCTAATACATTTTATAATTGGTTTAAGTGATTAACGTCTTATTTTTGACAGTCTGAATACTTAGTAAACAATAATAAACAACGTCACTGTGTGTTGCAGCTTCCTTTCCGTGACATACTGTATGTTCCAGTGAACCGGCTCTGTGTATCTCTTTTGCAGAATGACTAATGTTATTCCAAGCTGGAGCGCTGGTTGATATTGAACCGGTCTATTTTAAAAACCTCCGCCTTTTAGAGGGTCTAAATAAAGCTCTGCCCAGTTTGATCTGGAACTGAAACGCTCACTCCCCAAAAAGTCTGTTTTGAATTCTCCGTCTGCTGACTCTACAGGCTATAAATGGTCTGTTGTGTTGTTGGCAGATGGTGAGCAGGAAGAAGCTGACTCCCAGTTTCTCTCATAAATTATCAATTAAAGACATTTATGATTTTTGCCTGAGGGTTTACAGTTCTGTACTAACAATGGCTGGTTCTAGGTGAGCAGTAATACTGTACACCGTTGTGACTCTGAAATCCTGGCAGCTAATGCTTCCGGGGATTAAGAATGTACAGAATATAATGATATCATTGTGTTTGTGTTGATGTTGAACTGGACGTATGGAATGTTTCATTTTGTTTAACACCATAAAGCTCTTGCTCCAAAGCTCATGTTAAAATGTTCTTGTTTTTACCCATCATACATTACCACCATTTTGTGGTTTACAAAACAATAAATACACATAAAAGACCAGCCAGTAATACAGGTAGAAGGATATTAGTTTCTACTCTGAATTTGATTCATTATCTTTTCAGCTGATTGTAATGGACCATACGTACTGTAGCAGCTTTGATTGCAGCTGCGCTGTGACTCCCTGATGAATGACTCATTCATCCGTCGCCCGGTCAGTCTTGTTTGTTACACGTCCACTGTTTCTGCGGAGGCTAAAATACAGGATATTCTATTTTTGAAACACTCTCTGAACGAGCCCTTCAGCATATTGTTACCATGTCACTCTGAAGTTTCAGTGAATCTAAAATACCTCGTGTTCTGTGGGTTTGCAGTAAAAGTCCACTCATGCCTTTGTTCTCTTTTGCCGTGTGATTTTCTGCAGGCGACCTATCGTCCTTTCCTGCGTCAGATCTTGGAGCAGGTCTTCCATCCTGACAGGGTCGAATGTCCAGACATTGAGCACATGTCTGGAGGACTGACGGACCTGCTGAAGACTGGCTTCAGTATGTTCATGAAGGTCAGAAATGAATCCAACAAACGCACTATGAACTTCATGTTTCTGTTGGGTAGTTAGAGGTCCAGAGACTACCATGTAAATGTAGCGCCACCTTTAGACATAAATCAAAACTAGCAGCCAATCACCAGTGTACAGCCCCGGTGACAGTGTGGTTGGCCCACACTGTTGTTCTGAGGAGCTGTACACCTCCAAAAACATATATAAACACTGTTTAGAAACGAGGATGCAAACATCACACCTACCTCTCCTACCATCTCCTCATCAAATTATATCTGAATGAATTTTGTTTATAAAACAATAATGAGTTTTATTAAAATATTTGTTAAAAGCTGGCGCTGATTGTTAACATCTTTGATGATGATTTATTTTTATCACTGATCAACATTTTATTTTAGAAACAGCCGGATCGTTAGCTGTGACACATATACTGTATGTTCATACATCAGGACGTTCTCCTTTTCTAAATACTGTCTGACGTTTTCTGTCTGTTCCATCATGAAACTTTCCAATACAATTCCTGTTCTTTTTTCACCTGGCTCACTGTGTTCTCACAGAAAACCCAGCTTATCTGAAAATGTGCTAAACATTAGATTAGATTTGTACATGTTCAGCATTTGAGCCTCCATTTAAAGAATCTCACTTTGGACTAAAGTCCATGTTTATTTAAAGCACAATTCAACCCTGTATGAGTCAAGTTTGCCCAGAATAGTCTACTAAAAGGGACTCAGAAAAAGACTGTGGAAAAAAAAAATTTATAAATTTCTATGTAAGGAGATCAGAAAAATCTTCTTAATTGTCTGTTTTCTTCAGATCACGAAGGTTAATTTGAATTTTAGTTTTTGTATTTGATTTGGTTAAGGCCAGTTTTGCTAATTTGCTGAAATTGGTTTTCTGCGTCAGATGTGTGATTTAAGGATTTTGTGTACTGTATATCCAGCAGTGCTCAGATCACCGTCTGCACTCTTATTATCCTACATATGGCCCTGTTTAAACTGATGATTACCCAGGGGGACACATTACACTGCTTGTGTAATGTGGCCTGCTTTCTGCACAAATTAAGAGACTTGGCCTTCAGCCACTAAGTCGGACAGACCTGTAAAACCAAAGTTCAGGCGTTCTATGGCAGCAGAGTGTAAATCCTTTATGCAATAAACCCCCACTAATAAAACCTCTATTTTTAACCCCAGGACCTCTGCATGCTAGACAGTTTAAATGTGTATATGGTGCGTGTGTGTGGGAGTGTGTGTGTGTACTCACTGGAACCTAGGCCAAGTTATGACCCACTCAAAACTTCTCTTCTGCTGTTACTGTAGTTTTTTAACCATTATATTCTAACTGTCTGTCGGCCGTGGTGCGTTTAGTGTTTATTTAGAAAAGAGTCTCCAGGAAACTGGGCCGACGCTGCTGCAGATGTCAGTGCAGCTCCGCTCCTCCTACTTAATGAGAATTTAATGTGTGTAACCAGCCATGGTCTCTCTACAAATTTATTATTTTCTTTCTTTAGAAGTGTTCGTTTTTCATTAGTATAATACAGCGTGTAGCTCATGATGGTCTAAGGTCACCCACCCTCACGACCCTCTTTAATATAAGCGCTTTATGAGGAGGTTAAGATCCTGTTGGTTGGTTACACAGACACTCAGTTCAGCGTTGAACATCTGGGTCAACTGTTGTTATTAAAGCCTACGTTGGTATTTCTCCACTGCTGTCCTTTCTCTCTCTCTCTCTCTCTCTCTCTCTCTCTCTCCTTTGCTGGTGACTTAAAGCTAAAAAGAAAAAACACTTAAATGTCAACCATGTTTGCTAATCTCTTTACAGCCACTACATTTCTAGCTTTTGTGCCTTTTTGGATAAAAGTGAATCAGTTGATGGAACTATGGTAATTCTAACTTTTGAAAAAAAAAACTTTTTAGAACTTTTGGTCTGATTTCTTCAGTAGTGGTTAGCGCACATGCCTTGCGACCAGACAGTAGAGTGGCCTGGGTTCAATTCCCAGAGGAGTCACCTATCTCGTAACTGTAAATTTCCCCTCTGTGGAACGAATACGTTATTATTATAAATTACTAGTCTGGAGTTGACGTAGATGTTAATGTTATTTTGGTAGAATACAGTGTGATCATGAGTGAAAAAAGAGTCAACAAATAAATGTGAGTGGGAGTGGGTCATCCAGTGGAAGGCTGAAGTTTGAGTTTTTTATAATTGCTATTTTAGACCAATAGTTTTTTGTAAACAAACTTTACTGATGCCAAAAAAACCCTATTTTCTCATGAGCTTCTTCACAGACAGAACTACATTCCAGACGCATAGATCGCACACTGGCTGTTCTCTGACTGACATGTTTTTTTTTATATATCTACTCTTTAGAAAAGAATAACTTTAATCTCTTTACCAACAACCAATCAAACTCACTCCCTGGTTTGGACTGGTTTACATTTCATACATTAGAAAAAATGAAGGGTTTGCCTTTTATTAATGTAGGTTAGGGTAACTGTATAATTCATAAGATTCACACTTAACGTCACACTTCCCCTCACGCCTTCTCACCTCATTCACGCTCCCTCCTCCACGTCCGTCCATCACACGTGGTTGGTCTTTGGCGGCAGCACTCAGTCGTTGCAGCACAAATCTTAGCACAGAGTTGAAGACATTTTTACTTGTATGGGCTGAAAATGTATTAGTGTGTGATTTTGCCCAAAAGGATTACTTATAAAGAGAAAATGATAATGTGTAAGAATAATGTGAAATGGAACCAGGCTGAATTTAAGAGCACATGCATAATATTACAAATTATTCACACTTTTTGCCAAATCGGGGAACACGTTGTCCTGTTCGTGTCACACGTAAACCTCGCCTTCTGTCGCGTCACATGTACCGCTCCCCGCACCTCGGATCCGCCCACCTGCAGCTGTGATTGCTTGGTTGTCATGCAGGGGCTGCGGCTTCTAACAGCAGCTCACCAAGTAACAGTACAAAGCCATTACCCTCCTACAGTCGGCCGCACTGTACAAAAAGCACCTGAATCCACCCTGCTGTTAAAATTTGTCTTTGAGAGACTGTTAAATCTTTTTTTTTGGCTGATTCTGTGCGAGCTTCCTGACTACCGGGGAGACGCAGGACGTTTTTAGGCTGCATGTGTTTTGGAAGATGTGTGTCTTCCACGTGTCTGCCATCGTGACACCATGGTGGGATGACACTGTGATTCCAGGTGACCTCTGTCCGACCTGTTACATGGGTAACATCACAATGAGCGATAGCTATGAAAAGAAAGGAAAGAGAACCACTGCCTTAGTACTAGAAGAAGGAGATTTGACCACTAGGTGGCCAATTTGATCAATATTATCAGTACCTAAAATGTTATTATCTAACAAAGTAGATGATCAACCATAATGTCCTGCTTCTCCATCAGGTGAGCCGTCCACATCCCGGTGACAACCCTGTGCTCCTGCTGTTTGTGGTTGGTGGTGTCACGCCCTCAGAACTTCGCCTCATCAGAGAGATGGTCACCGCACACAAGCCGGGGACCCAGGTGAGCAGGATATATACACATATATATGTGTCTCTCTCTATATATATATATATATATATGTGTATATATATAAAAAAAATATATATATATATATGTACATAAATATATACAGTAAATATATACATACATATATATTTATTTATATATATGCAATAAATGGGGAAATCACATCAGTTGTAATTAATATTATATATAATATAATATATGTTTTAATATATAATTAATAGGAATAATATATGTAATATTTTACAAATGCATTCCAAGTGGAAAGGCTTTTGTGTTAGTGATTGGTGAATTAGTACTGTTCTAAGTACTTGTTTAGATAGTGCTGAGAATTTGAATGTGGCTGAAGACGAGGTGAGATGATGTGGGACCACGCCTGCTGTAAGTACTCTGGGGCGGTGCAGCAGTGTGTTTTATAATGGTAAGTGGAGGCACAACAAACACTCTGTGTTGTTATTTGAACTTATGAACTGGAAAAACCTGTGGTCACTCACTCAACCTTATAGTAATTCTGGTCAAATTTACAAGAAATACAATAAAAACTAAAATGCTTGTAATTAGCATTAGCCACCATCTGTATTATCATGTGTACAAACTCATTGAATTACACCACAGAGCTAGCAAGTTCCCATTCAGCCCTGCAGAAATTACTGAAGGAAGACACTGCAGAGGGAGATAAACCGTAGAAGCGTCCTCTCCACACAACAAGATTCTTCTGTTTTTGTATCTTAGGCATAGGTAGAAATAAGGAATAATAACTGTTCACTACGCTGGATCAGGTGAAAACGTAGAAAAGACTCAACGGGGCGATTTACATAACTCATTACCCGAGTGTTTACAAATGCCTCTCCAACGTCCAACTGAACCTAGAAAAACCTGAACACTGACCTACATTCACTGATCAGATGTCGCCCAGACCAGGTGTAGTGGTATAACACTGACTATTGTATTTATTTACACAGATTAATGTGTTGTCTTGTCTGCCTGCCTGTGATTTGAGAGGTTTAAGTGCTGATTGCATATGCGGTCCACAGTGACATTTAAAACATGCAGATGAATGCATTTCCCTTGGATGGAAGAGTGAGGGAGTGAGGCGAGGCGAGGGGAGGATATGAGGGAGTGAGGCGAGGCGAGGGGAGGGGAGAGGAGATCAGGCCTGGGTTACCTGGGTTAACGTTAATAAAAGGCTCGGAGAAAAAAGGCCACAGGCAATGAAAGGCTTTGTAAGGATCAAAGCTTTCCATTAGTAATCAGAAAATGTGGACACGGACACGCTTATATAATAACCCGCAGCAGCAGCAGCATCTCTGCAGGTCGTCTTCACTCTGCACACTGTCAACTCACGTATGGGAACAGTATAATGTGGAGAGGCGAATGAAATCAAACCATTTAATTACATTTTTCTTCCACCACTTAATCCTTCTGGGGTCGTGTGGTGAACTGGAGCCAACAAGCATTCACACTAACATTCACACCTTTGGTCAGTTAAGAGTGAATAATGAAGATAATCCTGCATGTGTTTGGACTGTGGAAGAAAACCAGAGAAACTGGATTAACATGTAAAATATACGCACTGTATACAGGAGAGGGGGACTCCAACCAGTGGACCAATCAGCTTCTTACTCTAGGACAGTGGTTCTTAATTATTTTCTGTCGTGCCCCCCCTTGAGGACAGAAATGTTTTCACGCCCTCCGTGTTCCCCGACCCACACCCCAGAAAATTGAAATACTATTGAGAACCTGAAAACATGTATATTTTTATCTGTACGAACCACTGTTTGAGTTGCTGCCACCTAGTGACTGGAGGCTTGTTATCATTCAAGCATTACAGCAGTGTCCATATGTGTGTCATATTCCATTGGAAGCACACCTGTTTTTTGTTTTCCACATAAAAAATAAATAATTTAACAGAGGGAGTTCCTCAAAGATAGTTTGAGGTTTGACATTAGAAATGGAGAAGTGGATGTATAGGCGACTCTAGAATAGTTGATCACTTTCAGTAGTGGATTATATCAGGTACATGAGGGGAATAATGTCATGAAGCACACCTGTTTTTTGTTTTCCACACACTCTATCTCCACATTTATTGGAACACTTTTAGCATTCTGTGAAATTAATCTCTGCACTTTTCATTGAAAAAATGAGAAACAACTCCAAGGTTTCTCAAGTAGAACTGGAGTGTAAATACTTGTCCTCTTCTGTGACTATATTTTCAGATGATACCAAGCTCGGTAATAAATTCCTGGTTGCTAAGAAGTGGTTTCATGTCACTGAGGTCTTCAGTTCAAACTGTGTGTGTGTCTCATCACCACGTCAACTGAAATTGTGCTTTTTATAGAAATTAATTTAAAGTGAGATAAAAAAACACCTTTTTATCTACTGTACTTTTCGGCGCCATATCTACAGAATCAAATATGGAACTCTTTGTTTTGGTACTCGGACAAGATTCCTGAGAAACTGATGCTGCGCTCCACTACAAACAGCCTTGCTGCCAAATTTAGGTGCTGACCTGGAGTTAAAGAAACACTGGTGCAGAGGAACAGAGCAGCTCTGTTAGACATCACAGAGAGAGCTGCACTTCAGGTTCAGACTGGTTCAGACAATGCAGAGAGAGAGAGCGTGTGCGTGTGTGTCAGCAAACGCTGTTTTAACGGTCCTCATTACAATCAGAAAATCTGCGCGTGTGTGTGTGTATAAATCGTCAGCCCCTGCTGATTTTATTGTTGGATGTAAAAAAAATGGTAAAGTTTGCTTCTATGCACAGTGTGAAGTTTTTTAAATTTATTCTGTAGCTGTTTTAACAACATTTCCTTTAACACCTGGTTTACTTCACAGCAACAGTGCCGAGGATTTAGGAGATTGATTTTATACTTGTAATGTGGCCACGTGTTACTGATACCACCTACTCCCAGAGGGGACACTGAACGTTATCCTAATAGTGTTCCTTCTTCTTAAAGAATAATTCAGCTGTAGAAATTTATGAAATAATTCCTCACTTTTTCTCAATTCCAGTTCCATTTCACATCCATTCCAGTCAAATACATGTCACCGAGCAAATGTTCTGTGGAATTGACGAACGATTCCAAGGAATCGGACAGTTCAGAACAGGTCCTCAACAAGAATTGGTTCAATTCCCATTTCCACCCACCATATGGGAGTTTGCACAGTTGTGTGCATTTTACAGAAAGTAAAGTTTCTGTGTCAGTGCAAAAACCTTTCTTTGACTGAAGTTTCCACAGTTATTTGTAAGCATGTACTGTAAATACTGTGTTTATCCAGTTTATCCAAGTTCCAGTTGTAATACTGCACTAATGGCATATGCACATTAACTGCCCCTGGACAAGGAGTTGAATCAGCAATCATGTAATCTGTTAATTATTGACATTTATGCATTTAGCAGACACTTTAATCCAAAGCGACTTCCAGAGGAGGATTAACATTGTCAAGCATGTGGTTCCACTGGGAATCAAACCCAGGACTCTCTGCTTCCAAGGCAGGCATACTAACCACTGCACAACCGCTGAACCATTTTCTCCTCAGATGATTGTTTTTTTTTTTTTACCAAAACTTTTCAAATCAACATGATACAACATTACACAACAATAATGATGTTAATAAACAGGTCACCTCTTCACTCCTATGTCCTCCCTCTAACAATGATGTCTGCTGCATTTACCAGTGTCAACACACACACACTGTCCATTCCCTGCAGCTGTACTCTCACACCTGCAGGTGGAAACAAACGATGATCCAGTTGTAAACCAACTCTGTGACACAGACTGCATTAATAACATCTACATTCTAACCTTCAATAACTGGTTTATTACTGCAGGTGCTGGTTCTGGCCACCAGGTTACTGAGGCCCACAGATGTTCCGGAGCTGCTCTTCACCACCAACAGACTGGTACCAGATGTGGGTGTTTAATCACAGAGACTGACAAGCTGCCATGACAAATCAAGAGATAGGGTAAAAAAGAAATCACATTCCTGTTGGTTTAAATACTTTAGTTGAATATACAAAAAACTGCAAAGTACATGTATGTGGAAGATGATGTTGAAGGGTGAATAATTCTCAATCTGTGGAGTTCAAACATCACTTTGGCCAAATATTAAAGTGAACAATAAGATGTATTTGGAAAAGCCCTGTGTTGATCTGCTGTTTCACTCAGCATGTTAAAGTAGAAGGTGTGTGTGAACCCACTTTACATGGAAGTGTGACCCAAGGGAGGCAGGGAGAATACACACTCTCTGGTGTCCTTTTCTCACCACATCTCATGACGCGCTGGTAAAAGGAGCAGAATATCTAACGGAGGTTTTACTCGGTGGTTTGCTCACACTTGTCTGACTTAATTGCCGACCATCAAATCTCTCACACAAGGATAACTGTATTGAGAAGAGCGCCTGATATGGCTTCATGTTCTTGGAACCTTCAGTTCTTTGAAGAACATTTAATCAAATAACGAGCCTTCCAAGAAGTGACGTGAACTCTTCTGTCACAGACCAGCAGGGGTCTCTCTCTCTTTTTGTCTTAATTGTCTGTCATGTTTTGTTCTTGCTTTCCGACACATTTGAATGCAGCTGAGAATCAGAAAGACTACAGCTGCCATCGTCAGCTCACACAGAGTGTGAAGGTCAGAGGTCACAGAGGTCAGGAGCTGAAGACGCTCTTTATATAACACACACACTGTTGACTGTGTGCATGTTAGAAATACCAAGGACAAAGTCTTAGACCAAATGTATCAATTTATTGTGGAGTGAAATAGTACAGAATAAATAAAAGCAACAACAACAGTGTTTTTTGAACAATTCATTTTTGTTTTTATAAAGTGCATCAGTGATAATACACGCTACATTCTCTGTTGGCTGACCCACTACACCCCACCCCACATACACTCGCAGCTGCACAGAGCTGTGGCTCAACTGGTCAGGTACAATGACATCATCATTAACAGGACCGTATGGTGGCACAGTGGTTTTTTATGAAAACAGACCACACACACATCTAGAAAAAAGCGGTCGAGCCCTTCAAGGCTGCTGTTGCTAGCAGAGCGTGGTTTGCAGTCTTTGGTCGATTGTCTGAGAACTCCGGCCTCTTCTTAGCTCCTGACTGGACCATGAGCTTCCTCACAGTTCTCTTCAGACTTGGACAGCCACCTGCCCACTCAGAGGTCAATAAAGCCACCTTTCTACTGTTCGGCTGACCCGCCGTCGTCTTCTTCTTCTGCCCTGCAGCATCTTTACACCATCAGAGGGGCAACATCTACTCTGCCCTCTTTTTACTTTTTTCCCCAAC